GATTCTACAACAGCACTATGGATTTCTACAACAGCATCATTGATCATGACTAGTGTTTGTGCTTGTCGAGTAAGACCATTGTATGGAATTGCATGTGTACGATATTGCATCGTATGGATTTCCTGATATGCATCGATTTATTGATTTCCGATTGATTTATTAATCTTGCTGGATTTATTGAATTGATTTTATTATTGAACGGATTTATTGATGGATTTATGGATTTATTGTATCGTACGATTTCATTGATTGATCATTGAGCATTGATACTATTGATTATTGATTATTGACATTGATATGGACATGGACAGCATAGATTTATTGACATTGTATAGACTCATTGATACTATTGATTCTGCATTGACTTGCTACAATTGATTTATCGTATTGTTTTTCCAATTGATTCTATCGACTTGATTTATAAATTATGGATATGGATTGTATTGATTCATAGATACCGGCACCGACATTGATAAAGATTGTAGCGATTGATAGATACCGACATCGATATTGATATGGATATGATATTGACATATGGATACTATTGATACGACAGATCCTGACATGCTATTGATACACTGATACATTGATTCGTCGTACCGATTATCGATTGATTGATTGAATGGATTGTTGCCGTATGGATTTGATTTATCGTAGAATAGATTTCTTTATGGAGCTGATTGTATTGATTTCTATTGACCTGATGATTTTATTGTATTGATTTGATTTCAATTGATCTTTTGCCGTATTGACTTGATCGTTTATTGGGATTTTGAGCCGATTGATACTATTGACTGGCAGAATTGATTGATACGATTTCACTGTTATAGCATCGTTCGTGGTCGTCAATGGATGGTTCTTTTATAGATTTATGGATATGGATACATACACTGCCGTATTGATAAGAAGTAAGTGAGATTGAATGATAGATTGATTTGCAAGTATATGTTCCGATACGATTCCACTCGATTGATTTGACTGATGTGATATGATAAGTAAGATGACTAGACGATTGTATTGATGTAATTGATGCTATTGATTGCTATTAATTGACACAGACTCTATTGATTGGACAGATGATATAGATACAATGAGTTGACTAGACGACACGATTGATTGAACTGATAGTATTAATTGATAGACATTGCTACGATGGATAGATATTGGCTTCCAGTCACTTACTGATTTGATTGCTGAGGCATATTGATTTATTGATGTTTTTACCGCTGTATTGATTATTGACTATTGATTTCCGTACTGCATTGACTATCGATTTGATTTTCGCTGTGCAACCTTGATTTCATTGACTATGGATTTCCGTATTGCATAGACTCATTGACCATTGATTGACTTGATTTGATTGACCTGCATATTGATAGCATCACCGTGCTTTGATTTCAGTTGTAGGCTTTGGTGACCTGCTGGGCTTTGTAAGCTCATTATATGTGGTTAAAATTTTCAGGTCCGAGCAAGGCAACTGGAATGGAGTTCGATCAGAATGTCAGACGAATCCTTTCACTATTGATTTCTGGGGCATCACAGCAGAAGCAGACGATAATGGTGAATAAAGATCATCAATGGCAATCCATAATATTGGGTGGTAGCCAACGGTGGTGGGTGATGACTATGGCCAGTGGTGGGCCACTTATCACACATGTTGTATATTTGGAATTCACCCAAATCAAATGAATCCTAAATACATTAAAAATGAGTTAGATAAGGTATTCCACATATATTGAAATTTTACAAAATATGTATTTTCTTTCAATAAAACATAAGAAATTTCCAAAGAAATGCATTTGGTTAGGATTACATCAGGAATACTTGTAACCACATAACCCCTAAG